CACCCCCCCCCCCCCTTTCATACCTTATTAGACGATAAAGGGTTCAACTTTCGCAAAGAACAAAGGCTGTTGAAGCACAGCATATCGTAACTCTGAGGTAATCCATATTGAAAACATATAAACCAGGATTGGGTGAGGAGGGGACATATCAATGGGAGAAAAATCCCGTACTTTCATCCTACTTGCATGAAATGAGTAAAAAGCTTGGAAATACATATGATAATACAATTGCAAAAAAAGAATCCTGATAATAATCTTTCCAAACCTCTCTACTTACAATTAATAAGTAGAATGTATTTAATAAAGGGAAAAGAAAGACAAATTTACCTTGACGACAAATTGAGTCTCGTAGTCGTTAAAGAATCGATTGGGCGGTCCCCCACCACCACGCTGAGTGAAAGAACGCGCTCTGATGCCCTGATTATCCGCAAGCTGTGGAGGAGCTGCAGTGGATTGTTGCTGAAGGAGGGTTGCCTCGCCGCCACCTCCATTGCCATGGTAGCCAGCACGTAATGGTCCCGGCTGGTAGCCTCCTGGGGGAGGAGGTCCTAATTGGTGGTGATGACGATGATGGTTGCCACTGGTGGAGGCGGTTGTAGTGTTTCCGCGACTCGCTACTCCACCACCAGTCTGGCCACCGCCGACCTGAGTCTGTTGGGAGTAGTAATCATAACTGCCGACTCCTGTAGAAAAAGGCAAAACAGATGACCATTTTGGTAATCACTCGGTAGTTCGAAAATTAGTTCGCAAAATTGTGAATGTTGCCATTGCTTGTGCTATTTGTAAAAAGAGCTAAATGGAGGAGACTTCAGCACTTCTTACATATTCAAGCCTTGAAGTTAGAACTTAGATATCCCCGCGGACCGATTCGTTGCACAATCGATTCTCCGTGGGGATATATTAGGAATAATAAAAAATTCAATTATTTGAGGAAATTTTATTTCATACACATGCTACCCATCTTCTTTCTGACTTTATTTACTGAAATATGCGGAATGAAATAAAAATAAGTGCTCAAGGTCAACATGTCATCAATGGGGCCCCAAACTATGATCAAATGGATACTTATCTAATTTTATGCACCAGATATCTTGATATTTTGTTCAACACCAACTAGATTCGCGTTATTTATTGAATACAAAAGTATGGCCGAATGAGATATTGTTAATAAAAGATGTTTGCATCAAATAGAGGGTGGTAGACACAATTAAGGAAGCGTTTACTAAATCTACGTAAAGTAGGGGGGATGGTAACATGACATCAGCCACCGTCTTAATTGGCCAGGCTTAGCCAGTTGATCGGATATTCACATCACTGAGTGTGCACTGATAGACATCGAATTCGTGACCTCTAAAGTCCGGCACACGCCCGTTAAATACCGTTTTGCAATTTATTTCCAAAGAGCCATGCTCTCAATAAGCCGAGAGATAATCAAACGCCATATATAATGACAGCACCAAAATTAACTTTCTGCTTTTAAACCTTTGGGGATTTAGGAATCTGCTCAACACCTAAAAATATTGTAAGCTGAAGCACCTATTGGTTCAATTCAGAAACATTAAAGAAACATTCATAGAGCACGATTAGAGAGCTGGAATCGAAAGTGCTTCTGAAATAGCAGGATCTCGTAATTGGTAACATTGCAACTTACTTTCTCTTAGATGTAAAACCTGGCATGTTGCCCCAACACCCCATCCTTTTTCAGTCATTATGAAATGACTATTACAAGGGCATATTCTTGCATCTACAAAATGAGCATATTCAGTTAACTTAGATGTTTCAGTCAACTTCCAGACTTAAACACATTAACAGGCAGGCAGGGGGGACATGATAATGCGGATATTTTAGTCTGAAGTCGAAATATTAGTTCAAAATAGCATATGAGAACCATTCAATAAAAATGGCTAATGTCATTGCACCAATAACTATTTGGATGAGAACAGAACATCTCACTATCTAACTAAAAATGAATTTATGCGATGTACGCAAACAAAAAGGTCATCTCACAACATATGAGAACTAGTACAAACAAATAAAGGATTAATTAAGTAGCTAATATTGAGGAAATCATTATGTATAGCTTCATGCTAAAATGATAGTTTATTGGGGAGGAGGAATGGCCTTAGTTACCACGAAGTTTCTCTCTCAACACATTTGAAGTGTGTAACGCCAAGCACCTGGTAGGTGTTGTTTGTCTCAATACCCTTTCAGAGGCGCCAAAATGCCCCACGTGATACAGTTTAAAAAACTAATCGATGCAAGTATTTTCGACAAAAGTAAAGCGAAAAGATTCTTTTCAAGATAGATAGGTAAATTAATTGAGACTTCACTTTAACAGATGTGCGACGAAATAAACTAATTTAAAAGAAAATTAAGTTAACAGCACCGAGACTCACTTTCCGATATCGGATACCAATAAATATAAAAAAGGCAATAGTTGCCATGACTATTCGAACGCAATCAAGAAGAGGCAACCAGAAGAGTTTATTCTATCATGGATGAAGCTCGGACAAAGTTGATTGTAGATCCGCGAGCCATGACATTTTACCAAAATTTAAGAGAACATTTTGACAACACATTTGTGGTATTTGTATTAATAAGAGTGAACTATATTGTCAATGTGTTTTTTTATAATTTCCACATGAAGAAAGGAGTAATAAGGTGTAAGCCATAGCCATCACTTAAATTCCAACTAATCCCTAAGAAGAGCGTTGAATGTTCCGCGCCCCAATAATTTTGATTTCAACTTAATAATAATAATCCAAACTGAGCACAAGCTACTAACAGATATAAGTAGACACGACAAATAAATCTGATTTGATTATCACCACGGAAGCCCCACACGTCCACCAATAATACGAGAGAATACATATAAATTTTGTCATCGAACTTTGATTTATACAGGTTACTACTCATCACGAGAACAGCTCAAGTGCGCCTTATAAAATGCGAACTTGAGTGTGTGGTACTAGAATTTACCCACTAACAACACAAAAAGCCAAGTGTCACGCTTACAATTTCCACGTGTCAAATAATTTCTTGCATACGTAAAAAAAGAAACTTTTGATTTGGCAAGTGAAGGCCATCAACAGAACCTTTTAAAAAGTAAAAATTCTCTCACTCTTTACCTCATTGTGGTTTATTAGAAATACTACTGGTAAATATATCAGTAGAAGCAACAAAAGGGCGAAGACAGAGTTCGTGGAATTTCTTCAATGTATGACTATGAATCCCCCCAGAAAAAAGACAAATTATGTTAGTCAAAGAAAAACTATAAAAACAGTGAAAGTAGTACTAGTAGATGGCATGATCACTTACTCATAGTTGCTACTAACTAACAGAGAGAGAATGGAGTTTAAATCTTGGAGTTTAAAATGGGGAACAGGAAACTCTTTTTCTTTCCAATTCACAATGATAAGAATTAATGACTAGAGTTGTAATATATATATATATATATATATATATATATAGATGCTGTCACAATATTGTCAATACTTCATTTTCCATGGTTTTATTTGAGGAAAGCAACTTTGTGGCATCGTTTAAAATTTGAGTTTTGAGACGTTCAATATTTTTAAATGCGCAGTTCACGTTCCAAAATTCAAACTTTATGATTTGTCTTATAGAGTGGAGCAAGTGTTTGACTAAGGTGTTATTCAGCATCCACTGACCAGCACATTTTGATCATTTTTCCCTCCCAATGAGATTGAGTGGTACAAACAGCCAAATCTTACTTACCTCCACGTGGTGCACCCTGGGCAACGTATACTCATACGGCAAAAAGGTCTATTAACCGGCATTTTTCTTCTGACTTCAAATTTCCACGACGCCCCTGGTTGTTATATTCGACCCCTCACAGTACTCACCTTACCTTTTTCTCTACCTTTGTGTCTGTCAGCCTCCTTTACATCTGTGAATCGCTCTTCTGTTCCCCACCCCTCGACTTTCTCCTACTTTGATGAACCTTCCCTCTGTGAATCCCGAAGTCAACTAAATGACTAATGATATCTATCAAAACGCCTGCCATTTGAAATAAATAAATAATGCTTCACGACTTCAGAAACGAACTCCAAAAGTGTAACGTTCTTGATGCACACAAGAGCAATGAACTCGAATGCCACTGAAAACCTCACTTATGGACATTTCAATTCTTACAAATGACAAGTGACTAAGATGTAGTGCTTCAGAATGATATTTTCAAAGTAAATATACTAAAAAAATATCCACAAAATAAAGTGAAAGTGGACAGGTACCAGAAGACAAGGACTGTTTTAGCAATTTTGAAGAAGGAAACAGTAAGGATTCAAGAGAAAACTGAGAGAAGGAATGGACGACTAGGGCGTTTGCACTGCATTCGACGTGCCATTTGATTTTACAGGTGAAGTTTGAATTCTCAAGAAAGAGGTGAGTACAAAGCAATAATCAATCAGCGAAAGCATAGAGGCATGACTTGCAATCCAAAGGGAATAAATCAATATTGGTACAAAAAATTAAGGAAATATTCGGGGAATCACTCAGAAACTTAACCATTGATCAGGAGTCAGTTGTAATTTAATTAGGAGAAAGCACTAAAGGTGCAAATCAAAATGCATTAAGAATGGCAAGCGACACGAATTGATAACCTTATACTTCTCAATCCGTGGTAGATCTAATGGTGCAGCCTTAGAAACGAAAGGTGTATGGCACTCAAGAGAAATAAAAGCGCATTCTCAAAACTTTTCAATCGATGGAGTTTGGCAGCACGAACTNCCCCCCCACATAAAAAACAACAATGCAGGTGTGCATAGTTGATAGAAGGCAGACACAAACATGGTTAAAGGCGGCAGTGTACATGCTTTTTCTCGAAACTAGCAATTCACATTCCTGTCAGTCTTATCAGCAATGAAGGCGCACACTCTGACCTTGGCAACAGATGTCAATTTCAAACATCAATTATAGTGGGGGTAAGAAACTTCCCGTTCCTTGAAATCAGTAGAAATAATAGTGTTTAGGAGTTGAAATATCTCAGTTTCGTGGCTCTGAAAAAGTTGTAGATGCATTTCCATGAAAGTAGCAAACTGAGTTTTATTTTAAATTAAAGACGACTAGATTGCCCGGGCAATGTAAACAAGTGCCAACATTACGCGGTTTGTATTTAATCTATTGAAGAGACGTGACAGATAGGTTCTTTGGAGTGGATCTTTATCTTCCTTGAGAACTGCACACAGTGAAGGAAAAATCACTCCAATTCATAGATCTCAATATACTGAAAGATTCAAGGATAAACGTCGATATTGCCACATAGAAAGCGGAAATAAGTTTTGTGAGTATACATAGAGCAATAGATTCTACAGAGCAAATTCCGGACACCTAATCCAATTCCAACCTAATTCTTGCGGATAATTCAACCTTCAAAAACTCAATGGTATGCAAATAATTTCATCATGCTACTTGATTTGTTTCGTAAAAAATTCTATATATAACAGATAGGTGCATTTAACAATTTAGAGGGACTCCATTAGGTCCATCGGACATTATAGCAGACATCAAGCCATTAAAGTAGAAAAATCGAAGGGCCTAATAGTGAAAAATAAACACTGGATAATTCCTATTGTGAATAGCGCAGGCAGATTGAATTCAAATAGTGTAGAACTCATGACACCCCCCCCCCATTCGATTCTACTTAAATAAAATTGCGCTGTTTCCTCGCTTTAACACGGAACCCATTCGGACTATGCAGAAGTAATCAGCCTTTTAGAACTCAAGGGAAAAGGCTCTAACAAAGAAACCTTGAGATATTCAAGGTCAACTATTCTCTAAATATTGAGCATTGACGCAGATTGGTGTCATCAAAATCATGGCATCACATCTCACAGCCAAAACAGTGGCATGCAGGTAGGCAGGCAGGCGCGGAAGACTGACAAAACCGCCACCAACACAGGATGAGATGCGTACGTCAAGCGTCCGGATATGTACATGCGTGCATGTGTGCGCTCCTGCGTGTGTGTGTGTGTCCATTATTCAGTTAGTTGGAAATTTTATGAACATCAGAAACCCTTCATGAATCGCAGCTGTGCAGCGCACTGTACACTTTACCGAAGAACCGACTAAGATTAATTGCATCTCTGAATGGCGATAACATATATAGAGTAGAAAACATTTGAAACTTCAGACATTATCAGATGATAAAATACCGAGCATAAATTGTCTTCTTCCTAAATGTAGGAATGAAGGAGTACTTAACCAAAGACAGAAAGTCAACGTAGTAAGTATTTCGTCATTTGATTTCAATACTGAATAAGAAACAATTACTTTTAGGGGAAATTTAGAAAATGACTATTAAAACATAGCCGAACGTACTGTGGAGAGAATAAGAGCAGATCCACGCAAATCATAGGGGCATACCTTCGTTTACACACTAAATCTGGAATGCTCTCAAAGCAAAGAATGGGAAAAGGAAACCAGAAGTTCATCTCTAGAATTGGAGCATAGAATTCACAACCAATAGATTGCCAGACATAAATTCAAACGTCGCAAGATGTTTTAAAAAAAGTTGTGAGACTCATTATTAGCATCTACAAACACCAAGAAACTGTAGGACTCCATACTTCTTCTGTGAGCACGATTTGGCTTATTACATAACCAATATTGTTGAAAGTTTAGCATACAATAAGAAAGGAGATGCCGTAACTCCACCTTTGAGACCTGAGCACGTGATAGCCGAGATCCAAATGCCATTTTTTGAAATACCCCCAAAACTAATCAACGGTCAATAATATCTCAGGCCCATATTTCAAGGACGCGGGGAGGTAACAATCATAAAGGAGCTTTTGATAAATCTTCCCATTAAAAATGATGAGCAAGAGATTATTTTGCCTCCACCTCTTCATCTTATTACTCACCGTAGCACACAAAAATTGTGAAAAACAACCGACTTAATATGATGGAAAGAAACAAAATGCTTAAAGAGCATTGTAAAGGTGCCATAGTCTTTCTTCCTCCAATCTTTACACTCAAGCGGCACATGTTTTGAAATTGAGGCGGTTCGATACGTCGCTTGGATTGAAATATTTATCCACGAAATTCTACGCTTATCACTTAAACGAGAAGGGTCAGTTCTGCCGCCCCAGTTCATTGAAGAGGTAAATAATGTTCTAAAATACTCCGCAAAGTATATATAGTTAACATTACAGCAATGAGATAAAAATTGCTAGGGTAGTAGAGAGCTGTGAACTCTGCTCACCAAGTTGAGCTCTCATATTAATGGCATCGCTTTTTAACAAATGAAATATTAATGAGAACGAAGACTTCAAATTCTAGGATACTTCTTTAAGAAAGTTTATGCTGTCACTTTAAATTACCACAAGTGGAAATGTCTGGACTTTTTACACATCATCTCGGGAAAAGGAGGCTTTTTCTACAAGCCGCGGATTAAGCATCGTACAGGAATCAATGTGCAAAATGAACTAAAGTGATATTAATGTGTAAGAAGATTGAAACGACAGAACATGTGACGGTAAGTCAGATTTTAAAATCATCGACAACATCGGGAACGGGTGCTCTAGTGAACTCATGCAAATCCTAGCAAAATTTAAAAGCATATGCAGAGAAAGTTATGTATAGGAATCCGTTTTTCACACATACGAGTGGTTCAAATTAGGTCATATGATTTACTACTAGCACTGCAGAACTAGCAAGACAAAAAAAGCAGAAAGAGCACTCAAAAGTTTAATTTTTAATGAATGTATTACATGAGCCTACTTGATAAGTGATTCCTGTAAATAGCCAATATAAAACAGTCGCTTTAAGGGGAGGGACGTGAGTATGGCACCACCCAAGATGACAAACAATCTTTTACTCCCCCCAACCTCCCCTCCCCTCTCCCCCCCCCCCCCGACCTCTTTTTAGTGCGTTTGCTACATGCGGATTAACGAATCTCATTAGAGTAACTTATAATCTACCAATGCATAGAAAATGTAATGAGATGCATTACCGGTCGGACAACCTAGAACTAAGATTATACCTTCTTGGAAAGCATTTCAAAGTAGCCCAGAAGGTCGATGCAAAAGCACATTTCGACTTAGAAAAAGTAAAAAGTTAAAAGTTACCCATCAATAACACGACAAGGAGTCGTGAATGGCACACAGCCTCGAAGTTCAAGTAATTAGGCCAACCAAACATAAGCAGGCGTGCATGTATGGACGATCAGACATTCAGAGGTAATGATAGAAACTGCGAATAACCTAGTTAAAAGCCAATACTACACGCAAACTAGTGTGTGCCTTCTTCACGTGCATATTTACCACGACGCGCAAAAGTCTTAATTTCACTCCAATACCATTTGGAATAAATTCTATGAAGCAAAATTTACCACCTATTTAACTTCCTCAGATGTTTTTTTTTCACTAACAATAACTATAAAAGCTCCTTTCACTTGATTCAGTGTGAGGAAAAATTGTGAAAGCAAATCACAGCCGTGAAGGTAAAAAAACTATTGATGATGAGCCAGCCATTAGGTTAATGAAGGTATTTCTAATGTTATATATATACCACACAACTTGTAATGATTTGAATAAGGGGTGTGCTATAGACTTACCTCCACGTGGTGCACCCTGGGCAACGTATACTCATACGGCAAAAATGTCTACTAACCGGCAGTTGGCTTCTGACTTCAAACTGCCATCACCCCACCCTGTGCCATATTCGACTACTTCCACAGTACTCACCTCACCTTTTTTCTACCCTTTCTACCTTCACCTTTGAAACACCCTTCTGTGCCCCCCTTCTCGACTGATGTTCCTTCCCCTCTGTAAAGCCTGAAGTCAACTAAAGGGCTAATGATAACCATCAAAACGACTGCCACTCGATATAAATAAATGATTTGAATAATCAGAAATCGCGGTAATTAAAAGGAATAGTAAACGAAAATAATCATTAGAACATCAATCTCAATCGGAGACAGATAACGTGCTGGAGCGATCTACTTCCATATGTACAGGATGATTGAGATAATTTAAAACCTTTCAAGATGTGGTGAAGGTGCGAACACGTATAAACTTTTTGAAAAATCTCCATTTACATAAGAGATGACTGGGACCTCCACATGAACTGGGCACCACAAAAGGGTGGTGAGAGAAAGTAATTTCAATAAATTCAACAGAAAGCTGATGACTAGTCTTAGCACACGTAAACAAAGATAAGATTTAGCAGATACGTCACCTAATTTGACCTGTTTAATCAACAAGATTGGGAAACAAATTTCTCTGAGCATGATATTCATAGAGTCTCGATTTTGACCAACATGCACGATTGTGAAATCAGAGGACAAAGACAAATATCCGGTTAACTTGTGAGGTGGTATCAGTGTAAATCTGACCTTTGGCGATCATTGGTGTACACTTTAGAGGACCGATTTTGTTGTAATGCGTGATAAAGAAAAGGAAGATTAGAGATTGGCTAATTAACATGCAATCTCCTACCTAATTAAACCCTAACTGCCCCGAGTGTTAATAGATGTCTCGAGTGGTCTAGCTTTTATTGATCATAAAGTAAGCTTCAAATATACTGCTTCAGTCCGGTCTTATTAAATATAATAATGAAATGAATGAATGAATGAGAGAAGGCAAGTAACTCACGGATTCACGGAGACTGGGAGGAGGGACAGGATGTGCAGAGATAGAGGAGAGATGCTGCTGTTTTTGAGTGCTTTCTAGAAGAGATTGAGCAGCAGCAACAGCAGCAGAAGTCTGATGAACCCCGCCACCCCCATTGGCCTGTTGCTGATGGTGCTGAGCAGTGGGGTGGTGGTGGTGATTAAACTCGAGACCTGGCTGCTTGGGAGGTGGGGGGTGGTGGTAACCCGCAGCAGTGGGATTACTGCTAGGAGTCACATTGGGGGCGGGAGTCTTTTCGTTGCTGGAGGGTAGCAGATTCATGTGCCAATTTGTTGCAGTTCCATTCCCTCCTCCCGTCGCACCTTCTAGATGGCATATTCCATTCGTCTACAATACAAGAGAAAAGAGGTAATAGATAACGTAGTCGTAAAAATCACGAAAAATGAATATGTTTACGAAAGTATTAGTGCTCAATGAGGAACGTTAGTTAAATCAGGTAATAATCAATGAAACTTGAGGACCATGAACAATCTCTCTCCCTTTCGTGACAAGCTAATATGTTTCTGCTCCTACTATTCAGTATGAATAGATGCCTCAAAATAATGAAGTTATTTGAGTGAAAGTGTATCTCGCTAGCCTGTTCTACCTGGACGTAAGAAGATTTCAACGAATCCAAATGGTGGTATGGGGTCAAGCATTAAAATAAATTAACCGTTCAACAAATTCCAAATACTCTACGTATAAATTTACCCAGATATCTGGGGATAAATATAAGGAAATTAAAATGTAGAACATTTGGATATTCCAAATTGAACTGCATAATTCCATCTTTACCCCGCTCCATCGATGACCAGTCTACTTTGCCAATTCTCGTGTTTTGACGTGTCAAACTAATTAGGCAATGAACTTAATTAATTTTAACAAATCTGCAAATTTTATGAACAGCAAGCTTTTTATGCCATGATTTCAACTTATAAAGATCTTGATCACATTGCCATGGATAATAATGAAAATCAAGTCAAAAAAGCGAGGGAGTATTTCGTGGCTCACGTGGCATTATCACAAAACACAATAACAACTCTTAAGAACTTTAGAAAAGATAGGTAATTCAACCAACTTCTAGAAAGAGATAAGATAAAACATATTTGTCATTTTCCCATTCTGATTCTTATTTCATGGGAAATGTGCGCAATGAAGAAATACCTCAAATATCTACCCCTGGCATTAATTATCACTGCAATATAAATATTTGAAGTTGGTGAAGGAGGAAATGTAGAAGCACATACAGAAGAGACAAAAAAAATTCTCAATAAATGGTGAAATCAGTGAAATGGCGAAAATTAGATAATGAATCAGTGACATATTCATTAAAAATCTGATTTAAATTGACTTGTACAGATTCCCCACAAGTCTAGACAAAGATGGAATAGTAGAGAACTAGGCGGAATCCAAACATTCAAAAACATCTGACAAAAAGGAAGGTAAAATACGCATAGATAGAACAAGCCATCTATCGCAGTGAGAGACACACACTGACGAAAAAAACAAGAGATGCTTACCTTAATAACAAAAGTTCCAGGCGAAATATACATCGAAATAATGAGCAGTGAGAGAAACGAGTCTTAAGGTACTGACAGAAAAGAAATAGTAAGTCCACAAATGGAAACTAGCGTGTACTAGTTACACTTTAATCTAGACAATAATTGAAGAGTTAGCACAACAAAGGCTGGTTAGAAAACACAAAAAAAGACAAAATTCTACTAAAGAGCATCAACTAAAGCTAAAGATCTATACAGAAAAGAAAGCAATCCATGAGAATTGAGTACTATTACTTTTTTAAAAAAAAGGAATGCGAGCTGAGATGAACTAATGAAGCCTATAACAATTTGGTCTTCATAGTTGAGCAAACATTTCTAATGGCCGTAAAATGAATTTATCGCACTGATAGCAAAGGGAAATGACAATATAAGGACTTTTTATTAACAAAAAAGTATACCTTAAGAATAAAAGTTCCACGCGAAGTATACATTTAAATGGCAGATAATAGCATCTGATCAGAGAGATATACTAAGAAAGCGGCATGAAGTGTGTAGAATGACCTCAAAAAAATCAAAGAGGCCATAGCACCTAGACTGAGTGAAAGAGAACTTAGATTCGCTCAAAAGAACACTATTGATAATCTGATTGGATAAAAAGCAATTCTTCACCCTATTTAATGCACCCCAAGAAAACGTGTTCTAAATATATAGTGATCATTATCACAAGCCCATTTAAAATGCTAAAAGAAAAGCACAAAATAACTTAGACCAATTGAGACGTATGAGGGCATAGATAAAGTAGAGATGAAATAGATGATAAACAACTACAAATATAGGCTTCATAAATCGTTCAGTGACTTTTTGGCTAGTGCTGTCCAGCAAATATTCATTTCCAATTAACATAGTCATCTGGCATTACCGTATGTGCATTAATGAGCTCATTGAGTTAATGCGAACAATACAAACACTTGATTTGAGTAGAGTCAATCTTGCGAGAAATTTACATTTTACTATGACTTATTGACTCGACTTAGCCTCAATGATGTGCACCGATGAACACTGACCTCGTGATCCCTGATTTGGCAGAGGTATACACTGGCCACAGCAACAAAGCCGTACTCTGAGTTTATTAAGTATTTCAGTAACTTTCAAATTCAATGAGGAGAACGTTCAATAGCACGTATCAGAAAGAGAGAGAAAGTTGAACTTTGAAGTCTCCGACATTCAATTTTTGCTCAAATTTAATTGGTCATTTGAGACTGATCAAACCGTTCACTAGATAAGTAATGAACCCATAATTCATGACACGGCCAAACTATACACAAATCATTACGAAAAGCGGTTGCAAAATAAACTCCTCATTTCATAAAAGCAAGTCAGACCTAATAATAAAAGCCAGATAGAAATTAGGGTAAATACAGAGATTTTTATGACGCTTTTTCAAAATAATTTCACGTGCCAGAAGAAATGGATGGGAAATGAATTCCTTCAGAAGTAGGCTTGTGCCTTTAGGTGATGTCAGAATTGCACAGCCATTAGTCAGCACAAAATATTTAAAGTATAAGAGGAAACGCGCACATTGAAATACAGTTTGCGTATGTTCCACAGTTCTGACGAGGAGTTTAGGTCAAAGGTAAATCGGATTAACAATTTGGTCAAATACGTACCGAGGAGTGTGGTGTGTGGGTACACAAGAATTTATAGAGGAGGTTTCAACTAAGTGGGGAATAGAATGAGAGGAGTTGGCCTAGGTTTTGTGTAGATATAACACATCTTTGAACGTTAGCATTGAAGAATTGTAAAAATTAAGTTTCCATTAATAGTAATAAAAATTATAAATCACTACTCTAAAGGGCAAACGAATCAACTACGAAATTCGAAACCATATGACTATTAGCATCTACAACTCAATGTGTTAAATGGGGGGGGGGGGGGGAACAGAGCTTCCAGGGCCCAGTGATACCGGTTAACACCAGTTAATAGGGGAATGGCCAAGGCAAATAAAGGTTTCAACATTCAAGGACTAGATAGATGAACGCAAGAAGGAGAAAGAGGGTTGACAATAGCTTAACTTTATATAAACTCATCTTCAATGTGTACTCTCTCATTAAAACAAAAACCTCGATGAAGAAGGTTGCTCCACATAACACCAACCGGCGATAGATAAACCCATACGAGATTTAAATTTTCATACGATGCACTATCTACATTTAAATGCATCAAGTAGAAATATAAAGTTATGCTAAATTAGCTCGAGATAGAGATGAACAATAGTCTTGTAAACAGATCGAGAAAGGCATGTATAAATGTGCCTTGTGATGTTGGGGCCAGAGTACTTCCACTGAACGCCACGGCTTTTGTTGGCCAAGAAAAGGGCTCCAGCAACCTTTCCCACACACCTGGTTCTTCAATGTTATTGAAAGAGTGAAAAGAAAGAGAGCAAACACAAATCAGTGAACTTATTCACCATTTAAAGCTGTTTTCAGTGGAAAAAATGATGGATTTGCATTACAACCGCAAATAAATATCTGTGCACAACTTAAATATATCAGTAAAAGGATGAAGTCGATAGAGAACCCTTGGCAGAATAAAAGTCTCATGTTTTTAGCTTCAATACCAGTTTATAGTGACAGACATTATATTAAATAAAAAGCTTTAACTGACGATTCAATATCTGATGGAAGTAAACGAGCACGTGAAGGACCTATAACGAAGCGATAAATGTACAGATATGGAGGGCAAAAAAGTCCAAAATCTAGTTCTCTGAACATAAAATGGTAATAGCTAAGCTTCTTGATTACTTCTATGCGCTTGGTCGATTAAAACTTCAAAGGTAATGCTATGAAAGATTACTATTGACAGATTTGCAGGCCTAGAGACAGATTAAAAAAAGAACTCCATAGGCCCAGTCTTTATAATAAAACGGACTGAACAACACAACGAGGACATACTAGCCAAGATTTCATCTCGTGCAGTGGATATTAGCATTTTCAACCGTCAATAAAAGACAAACGAAAGGATATAGAGAGCGAAGCTCATATGAACACGAGAAATAACCTTATTTCTAGAAATATTGTGAGATCCTACTTACCTAACGTTCTGTTTCCACGATTTGAATCAAGGACCTCCAAGTGGGTTCATTTTTCTCAATATTCATAAGTTGGTGGGTTGAGTGATCACGACACTTGAACTCATTTTTATCCTCTAATAGCCAACAACAACAACCCATTTATATGTTTCATGTGACTATTGAAGAGCGGTCGATCAAATCAACTTCCCATTCGCTTAAGTATAATCAATGATAACCTGCACACGCGCACAGAATAATTTCCATATTTGTGACCAAATGTCGCTTCTGGTGGGAGAAGTGGTGGTATAAGAAGCGGCACACACACACACACACAGAAACATTTGTGGCATTTTAAAAAAGCACCTGGTGAATTGGGATACATTTATCAATCCTTCTATCCTTTGGCAAACAAAAAAAGGCAAAGAAGCTCCAACTGACTTTAAATTGGCGCAAGCTTTTCCTTCAAGATTCGTTTTTCTCCAACAATTGAATGGTGGAAAACGTAAGAAGCTTTCTACCTTGCATTTATCGCGCATAATCAACTGGTTCAAAAAAGTTGAACTCAAATTTCTAACTGTTCAAAAAGCATTCTTGAGCAATTACAAAAATAGGCTCTGAGAGTTCGGATATAGTAAGAGAAGTACATTTCCCCTTTTTAAATGTTCCCTTAACATTAAAGAAGCGATCCTATTCAAAGTTATCCATTTTTCATC